CCCCACCTGCCAGCAAGCAAGGCACCCACCGGTGTGTATCCGCCGATGGGCTTTCAGGTGGGAGCTCTTAGTGTAGACTTTGTTGCAACCCTCAAAGTCACACTGGTGGATCCGCCTCTTCTTGAGGTCAGGAGACTCTGCCCATTGCATCCGTCCGGCCGCCGAGGACCTGGACAAGGAGGGAAAGAAAGGAGGGGTCAAGGAGAAGAAAGCAAAGGCCACCTTAGTGGCCCTTTGCCCTGCCACGGCTTCTGTAGCTCAGAACAGCCCCGAACACCAGGCACTGCCAGGGCCCGGCGCTAACTCTCTCTCTCTCTCTCTCTCTCTCTCTCTCTCTGTGCCATGCCTGGACTGAGCTCCACCCGCCCGCCCACAGACAGACTCAGACAGGGATCATCCTCAACAATGGGTGGCCAGAAAGGGGTTAGGGGTGAACGCATGGCCAGCGGCGTATATCTTGGACCACCAGACACACCGGAACCGTGGCCAGAGCAGGAGGGGAACAGAGGGTCAGCTGCGACAGTCATCCGGGGCATAACAAGGGATGTTATGTTTATCCTACACAACACATCAACCTTTTTGGTAACAAAAGTGCAATGAAGTTACAACTTAAAAGTAAACACAAATAAAAACCACACTATGGGCGTGACAGGAAAGATTTTCAAGCTACTTTTTTTTAAAAACTGTGCTTTAAAAAAAGCATTTTAAAACTAGTTATTTTACATTTTATAATATTCCTTTCTCAACGCTGTGGATCTTTTAAAAAGAAGAAACAGAGAGCCACTAGAAATGCAACAACTGACTCACCAAGTTACCGTGTGAATGCTTCCACAAGGAATAAAGAGTTACTTTCAAGAGGCGTGACAAAAGGGCCGTGCATTTTGGCAAAGGAGCCTCCCCTGAGCTTTGCCCCCTTCCTGGGCACCCCCCCCCGCAGGGCTCCCTGCCTGCCTACCTGCCTTCTTTCTCCCCCCTAACCTTCCTCCCCCAAAGCAGAAGGATCTGGACGTGATCCCCACCACTCACTCTCTCTGGAGGTCGGACAAGGAGGGCTGACCGCTTTCCGAGGCACTGGTCTCGCTGTCGCTGTTCACCTCAACGGGACACATGGAACTGGGGTCAACTTTCACTGCAGAGAGAACGGAGAGCCGGGAGTGAGAGACACGGCGGGCAGGCGGGTGGGCAGGCAGGTAGCCAGGCAAGCTGCAACTTTGGGGCAGGTGAACAGGGCCATGCCGGTCCCAGCCGTACGAGGGGCTGCTATGGACAGCAGAGGCAGACGCCCAACAGGACCAGCCAGAAAACACCTTCGGCCTCCACAGGGTGCCCCCTAAAGACCATCCCCCCAACTCCACTGCATGTTCCTCCATCTGGAACGGTGTTTTTCCGGTTTTTATATGTCTGCAAAGGCTCAGCCTTCTTTTATACCTTTCGACAGATATAGGAGGGGAAGGAGTGGTTCCGTTCCTTCCACCTGGAGGCTTCCTCCCCTCGACCCCCCCCAGCCCCACACAAGGGGCAGTGGGGGGAAGCAGGCCTTACCAGAACCAGCGTTCTTGCCGTCGCCCCCAATGAGGGGCACAGTGATCGCAGCCGTGACCCCATCGCTGGGCATGGTCGTGTACACCACTGGCAGGGACTGCACCACCACCGGGATGGTCTGGAGGCTGCCCATCTTGCTGGGCAGGTTGACGGAGGGGATGGTGTGGATGACGTGGAGGATCTGCTGCCCGCCGCTGCCCTGGGTGGAGGCGAGGATGGAGCCCGGGGAGAGCACCGCCGGGATGGCCGAAGAGGAGCCCAGCCCCGTGGGCGACAGGGAGACCACGGGGGCCTGGACGGGCGGGGTGGCCAGCTTGGGCGAGGAGCGGACGGAGGAAGGCAGCGAGGAGGACGAGGAGGAGGCGGAGGAGGACGAGGAGGAGGAGGCGGGAGGCAACAGGGAGGCCTTGGGCTTGTTGAGGGAGAGGTCCACCGGCTCGGCCTGGGGCTGGTTGCCATCGCTGGCCAGGAGCTCCTCAGGCGGCTCCGTCTTGATGTCGCTCAACAGCACCGGCGGCTCGATGGAGCTGCCCTCCAGCAGCGAGGAGGAACTCATCTTGGTCACAGCCCGGCCGTGGGCCACGCCGGCAGCCTGGAAGGGAAGGGAGCCAGCGGTCAGACACTCCTCCCCGGACAGCGGGAGAGGCGACCGCATTACCAGAGCCTCCCACGCGAGGGAGCCCGTCTGGCACAAACGCCAGCCCTGCCGGGCGAGAGGGGAGGGACACACACACCCCACCGCCTGAACGTAAAAACTTCCCTTTTGAGACCACGATTCCTGCATGGGTTAAGAGTGGCTCTGCTGGCCAGGGGATGCTGGGGATTGTAGTCCCCAAAGGGACCATGTCTAGGCTCTTGGAAGGGGGGATGAGGGGAATCAGAAAAAGGGAAGCTGGGAAGCCTGGCAGGACAGACCCGCGGAGGAGGGCTTCTCGCTGGAAGCTCTTGCCTTCGGAAACTCTGCCAGGAAACACACACACACACGCACACACACACACACACACACACACACACACAGAGAAGCAGGCCCAGGCTGCAAAACTGGAAGCTGTTGGACTGGTGTGGCTCCTTGTGACAAAGGAGGACGCGGGGACACAGTCGTCGTTGGTTTCACAAGGCAAACCCAAAGAGAGGACTCCTGCTCGTGTGTAAAGCTGGAGCAGCCCCAAGGGGTGACCTCCAAACCCAGATGACTCCTGACTGTGTTGGAGTTGTGTGTGTGTGTGTGTGTGGGTGTGTGTGTTTGGGGGTGGGGGAAGTGCCCTGGCCTGCAGGGGAATGGAAAAAGCCACCCAGAAGCTGCTGCGCCGGCTACCCTTGTACAGCAGGAGTGGGGTGGGGGTGGGTATCCCAAGGGCCAGCAGCTTTGGACCTGTTTTGGGGGCAGTGGGTGGGGGGGGGGGGTCAAGACGTGTGAGAGGCATGGCGTTCTCTCTCCTGCCCACCCCCCTCCCATCGTGGTCCCAGGGTCCCTGAATGGGCAGAGCAGCCACCAGCAATCCAAGCAGACTTATTTATAGCTTTGCAGGGCCAGCCCCTTCCGATGTGGGGGCGGGGGCCGGGGGGGGCAGGGATGGAGGTGATCCGTCTCCTTCAGAGACCCATGTCTCTCAAGTACATTCAGAAGACAGTTTTTATTGTGGCAATAGAGAGTATCTCAGTCAGACTCTTGGTAAATAAGTAATGTAACAGGTTTGGGAGTCAACCTTGGCATTTCCGGCGGCCAGGGAGGCTTGGCACGGAGCCCTCTCCTCCTTGGGAAGGCGAGCGGTGGGGGCAGCCTGAAGGACAAAGGGCCCCTCCCCCTGGGCGGAGGCAACAAAGAGCGGGGATCACACGGGGGGGGGTGCCTGGAAGAGGGCCCCCCTCCCTCCCTCCAGAACAACGGAGCACAGAGGAAGAAAGAGGAGGGGACCCTCGGCTCCCTCTTCTCAGGCCCACCCACCGACCCGTTGGGCTCTCTGCCCTGTGGCTCCCCTTCCAGGCCCTTGAGGGTTGGCGCGCTCGCTCGCTCTCTGGCGGTGTCCAGGGCTTGGGGCTTGGCACCCCGCTGGCCCCTCCCGCAGAAGACAAGGCCAGATCTGAGCAGCCAAGAGGCAGCCCCGGGTGGCCCTCCAGCCAGGAGGGAGGAAACACACGCCCTGGAAGGCAAAGGCGGGCCGGACTCAGGCGGGACTCAGGCTGGGCCTCCCTCCCTTCTTCCCCAAAGGCCAGGATTTCTGTTAGATGCTCCTTTGGGACTTTGCTTTTGCAAGGCAGGTTATAATACCAGATAACTTCAAATTCCCCCTCCAAAAAAATCTAACCCAATATAGGCATGTGCATGACCATGGGGGCGCCTCTACATGGACTGCCTTCTTTTGCACCAAGGCTGTAAAGCCTTTTCTCCCTCGATGCTGGCCAGCCGGCCATGGGACCAAGGAAGGGAGGGGTCCCTTCAACATGTCCACGGTGGGGCCTCCCCCCCCCCCCCCCCCGATTCCATGGGATGGGACATGGCTGGACACCACCCAGGACTCCCCACCGAATAGGCAGCACAGGCTAAAGAGTCAGACCTTCCCATTTGGGGGCAGGCCTGAGCTGGCATGGATGGGGGGGGCAGCGCAAGTGGAGGGCTGGGCAACTGCTGACGGCGGCCCCCACCTGCTCTGTTCTGGTTCTGCTTTGGGCTTGCCTTGGGCTTGTGCTCTTAACCCGCATGCAATTCCTGTAACGTGTGGCAGATGCTTCTGACCTGCACGTGGTTAAGAAGCTGCCATGAGAAAGGCCTCCTCTCGACAAAGAGGGAAAGTGCTCCATTCGCACACAGATCGAGTCAAGAGTCACAAGAAAAGCAGCACACATGACCTCTGCAAGATGCCCAACGCCTTACAGGCAGTACCAGCCGCAGTCACTGGGCACAAAGGGGGCCTCTGGACAATCTCCTCATTCTTGGCATTTCGTATCTGGGGGCCACAGAGAGAAAGCAGCTCCGGGGGAGAACCTACTTCCGTGGACTTCCAGCTCCTAGCAACAGCCGGGCAGGCTTCAGCATAGACAGAATCTCACACCCCTCCACACCTCTGCGCACACGTGCCTGCGCATGCACACACCAGGGAGCTGCTGCAAGGTGGACGACTAGCACCACTTCCTCCTTCCAGGAGGATCCACTGAGCAAGCCAGCCAGCCAACCGTGGGGCGCCCCTCCCACCTGCGCTTTGGGGAGAAGGGGACAGAGATGGGAGGGGCACCTGATGCCTACCCAAGCCTCCTCTCTTCTCTTCCTTTTAAGTGGGTGGGAGAGTAGAAAAGGGGGAGTTTGCTGAACAAAGCCCCCCCCCTCCCCTCCACAAGGCAGGAAGGCACTGGGGGGGGCGCTGTTGCTACAGGAGCTGGTGGGAGTTTGCTGTTGCCTCCACCCAGGATTGGGCCATGAGGGGTGGGGGAGAGATGACACCTATTCCCCCCTCCAGGCAAGGAAAGGCAGCTATTTCTGGAAAGCCAGAGGGTTCATCAGCTGGACCAGCCTCCCTTAGTAGGGGTGGGAGGTAGGTGGAGGGGTGGAGAATTGCTTCCTGGGACCCTCAAGGCTTCCCTGGCCACTTGGGCAGCAGGGAGCCAGACACCTCCATGAACTAGTTGCCAGCAGGCTGGTTCCTTTCAGGGCGAGGGCCGGGCATCCCACCCATGCCCTGACAGAAGCTGCTGCCCTGGGAGCTTTACCCCACCCCC